GCTGTTTTGCACTTGGTTTCTGGGATTTTTTTTTTTTTTAAGCCAGTCAAATTTAGCAGTGGGGGGCTGTATACCAACTTTAGTGACACTAATATTAATAAATTCTAATAACTACCATTGGACGGTCAGTTTCTGGGATTTCTGCATGCTTTCTCTGTTTGTGTAGTTCCCCCCACTGTTTATCTACTCTAATCCTCATTATGACCTCCTCTTCCTGCTCCCACCATTCCATGTCCACATACATGATTTCCCAAAATTCACACAATAGGCTGGTTATTCAGCCCCATCTCTCTAACCCTTAAAATGACTAAAAGTTTAAAATGTTAAATGTTCCCTTTTATAGTTCACATTGCAATAAAGTACAGCAGCAGTTCTTGATCTGAATTGGAAGCATTTCATTTGGGTCCCAATTACAACTTAAAGATGGAGGCATGCTTCAGGAAAGAAAGCACCAGTCCCAATTTATTATTGTATCAGGAGTGCAGAGTATGAAAGTGCATAGTGGTTTAGAATCACCATAGAATTTTAATGCTTGAAGAGCTAACCCCCACATGAAGGAAAATAAAAGCCCCAGAGAAGTTAACTAAGTTGCCAGAATCCACATTTCTGGTCTCCTCTTCCAGGGCCTGCTCTGTTTTTGGTGTCTCAGAATGTAATTCTTATACCTTAAATATTCTATTTCTGTTTCCTAATTCTCTATATGTAATAATGTAGCTGCAGGACAGATACACCACTCACTGCGTTTCAGACACAGTGACCTATGTTCCTTGGACACAAAAGGCTCCCTCCTGTTCAGGACTTCCGTCTGGAAAGCTCTTCACCCCAGCATTTGCAGGGCTACACCCTTCCTGTCATGCAGGTCTAAACTCAGACAGGTCTTCCTTGACCAACCAATCTGAAGCAGCCCTTCTCTAGTCATTCTCTACCACACTACCCTGTTTATGTATGTAAGTAGATAGGTATTTTACCCTATTTATTTTTTAATCACAATCCAAAATCGTCTTTAGTTGCTTACCTCCTTGGAGTCTGTATCTCTGCACCTGGATATAGACTTCATGAGAGCAGGGACTTATGTGTCTTACTTACCACTTTATGCTTTGTGCCTAAAACAATGACTAGCAGAGTGGGCAGTTCAAACAAGCATCTGTTTACTGAGTAAGTAAACATAATATTACATGATTTTCCCACACTACATTCCTTGAAACAAAATCAGATGTTAAAAATTACCAGCAATTTTCAGATGCAATCTCAAAAACATGTGTTGAACACAATTAACAGTATCTGAGGAGGTGAAGCAATTCTTTAAGTACAAACAAGTTCATAGTACTTAAGGAAATCCTTTCCTACATCAAAGCTCCAGTTAAACATCAGTATGAATATTTTTATCTATCTATCTAACACCATTTCTATCTAAAGCAACTTGTCAGGTCAACTGTCTTAGAGTAGCTTACAACCTCACAGGAAGTTTTCATCAAATATTCCTTTCATACATAAAACATTTCATCCGAAACAAAGAGAAGAAGGAGGTAAGGGAATATGGGATTATATACCTGATAAATTCTTTCCACTTCAGTGAGACTTTCAGTGTTGCAATTGGGAGTAAAAAGTGAACTATAGAATTATCTGAATAAACTGTTCCCAAATCTCCACTGCCCTCTTCTGCAGAAATCTAAGCCCAAACCAGGTCCATATGCTCAAAACTGCTGTGGTCCCGACCATGTATGTGGATAAAACTAAATCCTACTAGAGGAGCCCAAGTGACCAGGCCAAGGATGGGTCACCCCCAAGCCAAAGGCAACCATGTGTGCATGGAACGTACATGATTAGGAGATCAACTGCTTTGCAACTGGCTTGGTGCAAATTATGCCCAAGAAAGAGCTTCAAACTTGATGATGGTTAACCTGACCCTCTCAGATCCCTCTATTTTGGGAAGTATCAATGCTAGGTGATCAAGGGGAAGGGTGTATCCTGAATGAGACTGAGCTGCTGCTATGGCTAGTGATGAGATCTGCTCTCCATTCTAGACCATGTCACATTTCCTTATATCCTTGCCCAAACCTGTTACGAAAAATAATCTCAGCTTGTGTCTTCCTTGTACCATAAAGAGTAAATTCATCTATCCATGACCCTAAAATATAAATCCTCTCACTTTACATGAAATGAGGGGAAAATTATTTTCTCTATAAGCTGTAAGTGTGCCAAAGAAGTCCCTGGAGACAAGAATGTCAGAAGGATAGTTGTCCTCAATGCTGAGGGCACACAAAAAATAAAACTGTTACATATAATTCAGTAGTACATTGGAAAGTAACCCCCATTCCTGTTTCTTTAAGTATCTATATTACTGTATAAACAAAGAAAAACAGTTAAAACAATGCATAAGATTGGAGCACGGATCAGTACCTGTCTGAAAAATGTATATAGTAGTGCTTTGATATGGCAAGTCAGCAATTACAAAACACGTATTTGGTTCCACAAATCAGTTCAACCAACCAAAAACATATATAATTTTGCATAGCTACTATGTACCAGGTACAGATTTAAGTGTTAGAATGAATAAATCATAGATCCCACTCTCAAGAAACTTAGATGGAGATCAAAACAAATAAGAGAAAAAAGATTCGCTGAATCCAATGCGGCAAGTCCCATAAGTGATAGGCACCCAGTGTTCTAAGTGATATTGCAGGCAAGTCTCCCTTTTTCCAATGGCATACACATCCTAATGGAGTTTTGCCAAAGATAGATGCTATTTTCCTATTGGGATTGGCACCAGATAAACTGTGCTAAATAAATAGTACCAAATAAACTGGCAAAGGATATGTTGAAAAAAAGTTTCAACAATTGGAAGGGTCTATGTTATTATAAAAGAAAAAGTTAGGCTGGGCATGGTGGCTTATACCTATAATCCTAGCACTTTGGGAGGCTGAGGCGGGAGGATTGCCTGAGGCGAAGAGTTCGAGACCAGCCTGAGCACAATCAAGACCCCATCTCTACAATAAAATAGAAAAATTAGCCAGGTGTGGTGGCGCGTGCCTGTAGTCCCAGCTGCTCAGGAGTCTGAGGCAGGAAGATCACTTGAGCCTAAGAGATAGAGGTTGCAGGGAACTATCATGATGCCACTGTACTCTAGCCCCGGCGACAAGGTGAGAAAAAGAAAAAGAAAAAATTAAGCATCATGTCCTATAAAAATATACAAATTCAACATGTTTCACAAGGGTGTTCAAGATTCAAAGAAGATATATAAGAGGAATATAACAGTTATAAGAAGTGTTATAAATTGACCAAAAAACATCTTAAATTGTTGTATGATCTTGTCTCTTTCTAGAAAAATTTGAGGCAATGCATTCTTTTTTTCTCAATACATTTCCCTGTGCTAGCAGGAGTACTTGAAATCATTCCACTGACTCTGAAGCTGCCCTCCAAATACTGACCTGATTTTTAATAATCATTTGCAGTTGATGTCACTGGTGGTATTTCTTCAGTGAAAAGCATTTTTTAAAGGGAAGGCCACACCACAGTTTCAGAAGTGTGATAAAGGGATTTAGAATCCAAGTTTTTAGAATCCAATTAGGTTTCAAATCCTCAATGTGGCACTTACTGCCACGTGATCCTGGGCATTTCTTAACCACTCTGAGTTTCAATTTCCCCATGTGGAAAACAGAAACGATACCTACCTCACCACTGTTAAAATTATGAAATGTATGAGAAGTGTCTTAAAAGGTGGTGGTTGTTAACACCATTACTGTTAACCTTATCTTTCTTCTATCCCCTTGGTTTATCCAAAGGTAAAAGTTCAAGTAGTACAGAATAAGATTCAATAAAGGCCAACAGTAAAAAACACCTAACAGCTTAATAAAATATTTTAAAAATAAAACCCTCCCACAACTACCCAATGATAGCCACTACCACATTTTGAGATAATCTATGCAGTCTTCTTTCCCCCCAGTGAACATTTTTCTGTAGAATTACTAAAACTAGAATATTGGCTATGTACCACCAGATACCAGTAGGAAAGGCAGAGACAATGAAAACATAGCAGTAAACTGAGAAGACAAACTGAGTAGAGCGCTGGGATGCCCACAAGAACAAAAACTCCACGAAGCTGTACAACGACGTGAATGCACTTAATGCCACTGAACTATGACTTTAAAAATTGTTAAAATTACACATTTTGTTACGTATCTTTTACCACAATAACACAAAACAAAAAGCCAAACAAAAACTCCCAGAAGTCAGGGCTTGGTCCATTTTGTATCTTTAGAACCTAGAACATGCCAGCACATTAGACTCAATCAGTATTCATTGAATAAAAGAAAATAAGTGATAGGACCAGCGTACCTTTTTCTAGTTTCCACCTCAATCAACTCTGAAGAATACGGGTAGTGAGAAGATAATCTAAGTATTGCTTACAAGAAACATGTCTTGATGGTTTACTACAAGTACTGCATCAGCCTGTTTCCTGCATCTTTCCATTCTAGTGGAAAGAATCCATTTATCCCAAACTAAAAGCAAAGGGATAGGGCTTCGCCAATCGTTTCGCAGAGAAGCAACATGGCAGGCTGACATCTGACTGATGGCTGACATGGAAGGAGGGTTTCCTTAGAGTCAGCCCAGGCATATCAAGGTTGCCATGGCCGACCAGCTTAGAGGGACTTGATTCATCAGCAAGACCTGCAGACTTCTGTATTCATATTTCATAGCTATAGTCAGAATACAAAACTGTCACATCTAAAACTGTGCTTCAAAAATTTATACCACGAAATTCCAGCATGCTTTTGGTTTTACAATTTATTTGTATCTTTGCTAGACTAAGACGACTAATCTTATCATTTATCAATGCCTACTACGGGCAGCCCTTCACGGTAGGCTACAGGGATTCACGGATGAGTAACTCATGGTTAAGACAGGTCAGGGTACCAGCTTACATGTACTTTCCTGGTTGTTATTACTTTAGGTACACTAGACAGATGAAAATCTTGTTTTTTGAACCTTTTTAAACTCACCTGTTGCGTTAGCACTTGAGTTTTGTTGAGGCACAGAATTCTCTTTGTTTGCAGATGCTATAAAAATAAAGAAATATCCTGTTATGAAAGAACATTTAATGTTTAACTAAGAACACTGGCAATATGTTCTTTTCTGCCTGTGGGAGGTGGTAGTGTGGGGGAGGGTAGATTATTCCACAGGAAGTCGTACCTTTGCCTCTTTTGCTATGAAAAGTACCTTGAGGCTGTCAGTAAATATGGGACTATAATATTGGGTTTTTAAAGACAGAAAACCTCTAGTTTATGTAACAAACACTTAAACAGCACTACTATGTGCCAGCCACTGAGTGCAACAGCTTTGCCAAAGTTCATTCACCTACGTGAATACAGAGCAATTGGTGATGGATAAACCAATTTCTGCTACTGCCAACTCTGCTCTTCTGAGTGGAGTAGACCATTTCAGGAAAGGTCCCTTAACTCACAGGTGTCTCTAGATCTTGTACCACCAATATCCCTAATTTCATACAATGGAAGGATGAAGTGGATGGGATTTTCATATTTAATTGCAAGCCTTCTCAGTATGATTCTTTTAATTTTTTAACACTTTAAGATTTGGAAAAAAAATTAGGAGAATTTTATGCCCTAGTGAAGCAACTTTCCAGAAGTGGCTTATTCACCTTGAGTCTTTGTATGATGATGATTAAATACATATACCACATGGGAAGAGGGCAAGTGTATTATTGTGTACTTTTCACAGATAAACCCTCCCCCACTACTAAAAACAAACTCTCAAAGTACAATGAAAAGCACTAAAACTTTGAAGGTGCTATCTTTACTGCTTGTGCAAATTTCTTCCTCTTGATGGGACACCCATTTATCACAAAAGGATATGGTATAAGATTAAACTTGAAAAAGAACAAAGTTAACAGACTATACAGATGTATTTAGCAGCAGGTATCAAATAATTGCCAACATTATGAAGTGCTTACTACATGCCAGGCCTGTGGGAAGCATGTTATCTGCATTAGCTCACCTAACCCTCCAAACAATTCTGAGACACAAGTACTGTTTTCCAGCGACAGGAACCGAGGCCCAGAGAAGGCCACCCAGCTAGTAAGGGCAGAGTCTGCATTTGAACCAGCCTATTTGATTCCAAAGTAGATGTGACTGCCAAAATGGAACTGTTGACTTTCTATAAACCTGCTTCTCCCCAAATTTTCCCAACTGTTGCATTACCAGTTCCTCAATCGCCACACCAAGAGGTCATCCTTTGATTTCACTCTCTTCCTCACCTCACCCTCTAACCCATCAGCAAGTGTTCACTCCCACCCTCTAAACAGATCTAGAATCCACCTCCTTATCTCCATTCACATTCACTATTGTCTTTTGCCTGGACTGTAGCAAAAGCCTGTTTTTGTCTCCCTGATATTGTCACTCTCATGCAATGATTTCTTGATTTCTTGGCAATCTATTTGAACACTTGAATAGTCATTCCCAAGCTACTTCAATCCTTGGATTTTTCAGTTACAAGAGTCAATAAAGTCCCTTCTTTCCCCCTAAGGTTGTTCAAGGTAGGTTCTGTTCACTTGCCACCAAGAGTAACTAGTAGCCTCCCCTCCCATTAGTGTCTCTCATTAGACTACCAAAAAATCTATCCTGTTTGCTGATTTTGCTAACTTGGTCAAAGACTCCCCCTTCCTCAAACTGATATTTATAATACTATGAAGCAGACTGAATATTTTTAAAAGCAGAATTTCAATGTTTATTCTTCTCCTACAATATTCTAGGCAATTGCAGTATTGTGGAATAAAAGCTTTATCTATTTCAAGAGCCAACATGATCTTACATGGCTTCGTGGTGAAATGGTTGAGAATTTGGATTCTGATCTAAAAGCAAACATGTGTTAGTTGTTTTACTTTGAGTAAGTTAAATTACTTCTAAGCCTCAGCTTACTCATCTATAAAACAGGGATAATACTGTGAGAATCCAATGGGATGACTTCTGGACCTCAATTAGTATAGTGTGGGGTACACAGGAAATGTGCCCAGTAATAATTAGCTATGTAAGTTACAGTAAGATTGTTAAAAATCACTGTACTTTGTAATGATAGATTACACACCGTGTATGTATAAAGACTAGGATAACAGTTACTTGCTTTTTTGAGAAATCTTCTATTGAGTCTTCTTTTAAGTCTAGTTTCAAGGTGACATTACAGTCTGCAGAAATGAATTCCACCTCACATTGCTTATACTAGTTCATGAATACAGGGCTCATCTTTAGTAGAGCATTCCAAGCTTTCCAAATAGCACTAACCTCTAGCGAGACATTAATAAACAGAACAGTGAGTGTTAAAATAGGGCCCAAAAAAAAAAATCTGTGTTATGAGGGCAAAAGAAAGAAAAGCAAGGGCACTCACGGTTTCTCTAACCAGTAATTCATTAGGTTTACTTTCACAAAAAATAAAGCAACAAACTTTTAAAAATGGAGACCTTCCTCCATAAATACTGGTATAAAAGTAGCACCACGATGTATGATGAACGTGATTTTACCAATCACTCCTTTCTTAAATGATCTCAAAACCACGTCTGCATAGCCAGTCTGTCACATGCAAACAAAAAGAAATTCAGCAAAACAAACAAAAATTGTTATTTAATTCCCTCAGATTATTCTAGTAAAAGCAGGTGTTGGGCCTGAATCGTCTGGATTTACAAACTGCCTTTTCTCTTGATAAAAGAGATAAAACTAAGCTGAGGCTAAATATACAACAGATGGATAGAATTTAAAACCATGAAAAACTTGGGTCACTTAAAGTAACTTATCCTACTTTACTGACCATTACCCAGTGACCCAACTTTTATGATAATTGACAAAGGAAAACAGGATTTACCCAGCAAATCTCGGCTTCCTGAACCTCATCCAAAAAGGACTTTTAAAGTCTCCAAGGGGCCAAGGGCCTAAAGGGAAACAAACTTCCCCCTTCACGGAAGTGTCAACATCATTTTGTTAGGACCTTATTGACGACGTCGTGGGCTTCTGCCGATGGTGCAGCTGTGACCTTAAGGCTGCGCAGCCGACGCGCGCCAGGCCGGTGGTCAGCGCACCGGAGGGGCTGAGGGCGCCCCCGACCCGAGCACAAGCCTCACCTGCGCCGCGGGAGCAGGGCGCGCTTCCTAAACGCTTCCCAACTAGCTACATCAGCCCCAAGACGAACTCGAAGCGTCTGGGGCACCTAACGACTGTAAGTCATTTGGTTAATATTGCACAATTCGACGATGAAATGCCGGGGAAACGCCTGAACAGTTCCCCAACTAACTGGGAGACATGTTTCCGCAGGGATCGGTAGACATTTTTCAAACCACCTCATCTTGTTTACAAACGGAAGCCCTAGATAAATTCTAACCTACAAGAAACATTAACCTGAGGGAAAGGCTACAAAAAGAACTTGAGCCCTCTGCTGAAGGCCCGCCCTTCGGGTAACTCAACAGGTTGTACGCACCCCTTCCTGGCCTGCGCCCGCCGCTTCCAGGAAAAAAGAGGGGCCTGGCTGGGCAATATCGTCAGCAGGCGACCCCAGGAAAAGTGGGGGATCGGTCCAAGCCTCAGTTTCCCCAGCCCCATCCGGTCACCTCCGGGTCTGCCCCGTGCGTTCAGTTCGGCCAGGGACAGGCAGAACTTTCCGTGCGAGATCGCAACTTGGAAAGCCAAGCCTCAGCAGCGCGCTTCCTCCCAGGACAGGGGCAGGAAACCCCCGCAGCCACTTACCCGCCGGGTCTGAGGGGTCTACGGCGGCCCCTAGCAGCGCTAGCACCTGCAGCGTCCCCAGGAGCAGCGCGGCCCAGGCACCTCGCGCGCCCAGTCCCATTGTTCCGAGGGCAGGACGCGGCGGCCTCGTGGGCTCCCAACGAAGGTGGCAACAGCGGCTCTTCTGCCCACTGCAAGCCGCTCCGCGTCCCCTTCCGCCGCGCACGTCTCCCCGCCCCGCCGCCTGCCCCCCGATTGACCAAATAGGGCGCAGGAGCCGGGCCTGGAGGGGGCGTCGCGCGCAGAACCGGGGCGGCGGGACCGGGCGGGGCTGGGGCGGGGGCGGGGCTTGCAGCTCCCGGCGGGGCGACTCTTCTCCCGGCCCTCCCCGCCGGCGCGCGCCTGGGGACCGCGAACCTACGAGCCTTTTCCTTTCTCTTCGGAAATGGCTGTTTAGTTGCCCTAGATGAAAGCGAGCGCCACAGTCTCTCCGAATTCAGAGCACGCCGGGCCTCGCTGGGCCCGGAAGGAAGTCTTTGAAGAGTAGTTTTGGGGGTTGGGGGGACAGGGGCGCGTGCGGCTCACGGCGAGGGGGAGGAGTTGCAGGCGGGGCCCGCAGAGGAGGGAGGTCGAAGGGAGAAACTTGAGCGGATGGGAGTCCCTCTGAGAAGTCCTGGGAGGTGGGAGCTTGCCCCCGGATGACCCAGTCTAAGCGGGCAGGGGAGAAAAACGGCTCGACACATTTGTTTTTGAAGTTCAAACGTGAAACATCTACGATCTCCATACCACAGCTGTACCTCATCTTCTCCACGGGTTCCCTCTATCCCCGGATAAAGACACACCCCGTGCCGCTGCTGAAAGAGACGAGTGGAGTGGGCGGGCCGGAGGGCGCGCGCCGGAGTTGGTAGCTGTTCACACTGAAGTGCCGTAGAGGCACCGAGGCCCGGGGCGCATAAATCTAGCTCAGCCCCTTTTCTCCTTGGGGTCTGCCGTCCCAGTTGGATGCAATATCCCGTTTTTAACAGTTTTTGGCTAAGTCTGTCTTAAACCCTTGGGGCCAATGCTTATTCTTCTTGACTTACAGTGCTTGTAAAGTCTGTATTTTGATTTTGCTCAGAACTCTGAAGTGACAGCGACCCGAGGTGATGCCAGAGAACAATAAACATTGAATCCTGGTTTGAGTGGGAGCCCTTAGCTAAGGTGGAAGGCTGAAGGATCCAGGGCAAAATCACCGTGAATCTCCACCGGCAAAGCTCTTAATGTTACAGATCTTTGGCACCTGACCCAGATTTAATGCTATAAAGGCCACATTGCATTTAAGTTCTCAAAACTATGTTATGAGAGGGAATACTTTCTAATCTCGGGCACAACATCAATTGGACTAATCATAGAGATTGGGGCAATCTGTCTTAAATTTACAAAGACTCCCATCTGTGGATTCAATCAGCCAGTCTGCAAATACTTGCTAGCATCTACCGTGGGCCAAAAGCAAGCACTGCATATTTAGGTTTTGGTTGCTGTTGTGGGAAATCTGGTTTAGCGGTAAACTATTCTGGTGACTACCTACCCCATTATCCAAGCATTTCACAAACCAGGCTCAACCTGTCTTTCCAGCCTTGGTTCTGCTGCCAATGGACAAGGGTGCTCTTTGGTTCCTAGCATCTGCATACATTATTCTTTCTCTCTGAAATGCCTCCCCCATTCTCCACTAGCCCACAGCTAACACTTCCTTTAAGGCTCAGTGTACATGGAACCTGAGAATCTGGGGTAGAATAAGAGGTCTGAATGTTTGTGTCATCCCCGAATTCATATGTTGAAACCTAATCCCCAAGGTGATGATATTAAACGGTGGGGACTTTGGGAGGTGATTAAGTTCCTAATGAATGGGATTCCTGCCCTTACAAAAGAGGTCTTCAGGAGCTTGTTTGCCCCTTTTGCCGTGTGAGGACACAGCACCTAGGTGCCATCTATAAAGCAGAGAGCTCTCACCAGGCACCGAATCTGTTGGCACCTTGATCTTGGACTCCCCAGCCCCCAAAATTGTGAGAATAAATTTCTGTTTTTTGTAAATTACCTTGTCGAAGGTATTTTGTTATAGCTGCCGGAACAGAAGACAGTATGGAAGACAAGATATCCACTTGACAATTTTTCCTTGGACTGACCTTGAAAGAGACACCCTCAGATCTTCTCTGCCGTCTGATTGCCACACCACAGTGTGAGTGGGTATGCCCAGCATTGCTTTGATAGTAACAGCTCAATATTACGGATTGACCATGTTTTCTCTAGTCTGAGGAGAGAAGAAAGGGCAAGAAACAGTGTCCTTTCTGCCCTCTTAGGAACTCTAATGGGAGGTCTGCCCCCCTTCCCGCCGGGGGGAAGATGTAGCCCCAGTGTGTCTCAGGCTCCGCCCCCATCAATGCACCAACATTTTACTTTGGTGGTTTGAAAGGTTAAAAGAACAGCAGGTGCAGCCCTTGGCTGCCTAGGTCTCCCTCTGTCCAGCCTTGTGTTTGGGTCCCTGTCTGTAACCTCACCAGATCACTCAAAGTTCTCCAAACATGCCAGGACCTTCCCACACCCTGTGTTTTTGCTCTTGTTCTTCCCTTTGCCCAAGATGCCTTCTGATCTTTTCTCATAGGCAGTTTTCCCTCATTTCTCAAGATTCCTTTCATATCTCATCTTCTCCCCAACCATCTAGGCAGATTTTAGCGCTCCGATCACTCTGCTCATACTTGTATCAGCTTGGTCTCCTCACTTCTGCCATCATTCTCTACGATCTGTTCTCCACACAGCAGCTAGCATGATCCTTTTAAAATACAAGTCAGATTGTGCCATTCCCCCACCACCTTCCAGAGTCCAAAACTGTGACCTGCAAGACCTACGTGGCATGGTCCCTGGCTGCCCTTCCCTCCTCACTTTCTATCCTCACTCCCCCTTCACTTGCTGAGCTCCAGCATCCTTGCGGGAGTTAGAGGTGCCAAGTCAGCGCCCATCCCAGAGCCTGTGCACTGGCTGCTCCCTCACACTATTCGTGTTTCTGCTCATCTCAGAAATGCCTTTCTTGAAATTGCTAATTTATGGCTCTCCTTGTCTTTGTGGCATCTAGCACTATCCATCATTATGCTCATTTATATGTTTTTTGTTTGTCTCTTCTACAAGGATAGAAGTTCCATGAAAACAAAAGAATGAGTGTATATTTTTGGTCTAGCTTGTATCACATATTGCTACAGTTCACTGGACACTTGCCATGTAAATCACTTTCTTTTTTTTTTTTATTTCAGGATATTATGGGGGTACAAACATTTTGGTTACATGTTATGACTTTGCCACACCCAAACCATGATTTGAGGCATGCCTTCCCCCCCCTACAATGCTCACCACGACCATTAGTTGTGAGTTTACCCACCCCCAACCCCCTAATCCCTGAAGAATATTACTACC